AACCGACGGACCAGAACCGATGAACCAGAACCGATGAACCAGAACCAATGGACCAGAACATACGGACCAGAACCAATGGACCAGAACATACGGACCAGAACCAATGGACCAGAACCGATGAACAGAATAAATGTCTTATGTTGACATCTGTGAAACGTTTCTGATGCTCCAGAAACCAACCAGCTTCTGCCTCCATGCTTCTGAAGGAAACAGTTTAATGGACAATAAGGGAAAATATGCATAAATGTTCTTAAATTAAAGGGAAGCAGAGCAAAAAACAAAAGGAATGAGTTTAGAAATGTGCAGAAAAAACTTTCATCCAGATTAATAATGTTTTCTCAGCAAACCAGCGAGAATCCAGTTAAATATTATTGAGGATAAAAGATTTTTGTCTCCTTATCAGCAAATTAAGGCCAAAAATCATCTGAAAAATAAATTTCACCCAAACAAATAAACCCAGAGAACTAAAAAATATTCATTTCTTCCATGAATCCTGTGAAGAGACCAGCTGGTTCTGTTAGCTGGTTCTGTTAACTGGTTCTGTTAGCTGGTTCTGTTAATTGGTTCTGTTAGCTGGTTCTGTTAGCTGGTTCTGTTAACTGGTTCTGTTAGCTGGTTCTGTTAGCTGGTTCTGTTAACTGGTTCTGTTTGGTTCTAGTGACACAGAAACATTTAAAAAGTGTATTTAGGTTCAGAAATAAATTATGACTTAACATGTTTTATTGCTCATCTTGTCCTGAGGTCATAAATTCACTGAGTTATGAAATTCAATCAAATGAAGGAAATAAATTCTAACATTTTAACCTGTGGTGACCCCTGTGGTGACCCCTGTGGTGACCCCGGTGGTGACGCTGTCAGGGATAAAACAACCCCACCTGACGGCGCTGAGGCGCCATGATGGACGTTGTTAGTGAGGGACGGGAGTTTTGATCAGAGCGACTGAGATTGTTTTCTCCAGTTTGGCTTCTACCGGTTTCAGTTGGGCTAACTGGGACGTAGCTCACAGAAAGCAGCATTAGCTTGCGGCGTTAGCTTGCGGCGTTAGCTTGCGGCGTTAGCTTGCGGCGTTAGCTAGTGGCGTTAGCTTGCGGCGTTAGCTAGCGGCGTTAGCTTGCGGCGTTAGCTTGCGGTGTTAGCTAGTGGCGTTAGCTAGCGGCGTTAGCTAGCGGCGTTAGCTTGCGGTGTTAGCTAGTGGCGTTAGCTAATGGCGTTAGCTAGCGTAGAAACCAAACCGTTTGTTGATTTGATCAAATCTGCCTGAATTCACTCCACGGTTTATACCAGTGTGTCATAACGGCGTTTCCATGGACACCAGAGGAGACTTAAGTCTAGATGCTACATGCTAGTCTACATGCTAGGCTACATGATGGTGGAGCTCCAGGGTTACTGATGATTAGACGCCTTCCATCAACTGTTTGCTGTAAATCAGTGAATACATATTTATTCACTGATGCATTGGCGAACCTGTAAATGAATTAGATGCAGCGGCAGAAGAACACGACAAAGAACATGAACGATTGGCAAATTCAGGAATGAACCCGTACATGTTTAATAATGGGTTAATACATGACCTACGTCTTCATACTAGGTCCCTTTCCTGTTTGCAGTAAGATGATCCGTTTGGTTGCATCCTGCGGCTTGTGCAGGCGCCGCGCAGCAACCTGACATAAAGTTAGATCCACTAAATAAAGTGACCTCAGGCGCCAACTGTCCGGTTCTGAGCCGGCCAGTTTTAACCAACTTTATTTATAAAGCACTTTAAAACAACCACAGCTGATACAAAGTACCAGTTTAACGCCAACAGGTTCATCATGGCGGCGCGAGTCGCTTTCTGACGGGTCGGCAGGCAGTGGAGGGAACTGTGGATCGAAATATTTGACCCTAAAATATGAAGGAAAACATTGTGGTGGCAGCAGCATGCTGTGGGATGGATGGAGCTGAAAACTGGAGCTACGTTGTGGCGGCGGTGACTGAACCTCAGCGGGTTCGATTCCCAGCCTGTTGACCTTTGACATCTCTCTCTGTCTTCCTGTCTGACGAATAAAATCCAACAGAGCTGAAACAACTGATGCTACGTTCATCTGTGACAGAAAATCTCATTAAATATATTCATATTTTAGTTTTAATCTCAGAAATGAGAAGCAGTTCTGTTGGGAATCTGTATGATTTTATTCTTTGAAATAGAAGAACATCCGACTTTATGCTGCCGACGTTGGTTTGGTTTGGTTTCCTCCTGGTGTGACGCTGCTCTGCGATGCTCCTCATCGCTGGAGAACCAAATTTATTCCGTCTGTCAGAAACGCCACCAGATGATAGAAATGATCTCAATAATTAAACATCCAGAGCCTAAAAATACAAGGAAACAAAAATACGAGGTAAGGTTGTTCTGGTCTGGTTCTGTTCTGGTTCTGGTTCTGGTTCTGTCCTGATCCTGGTTCTGGTTCTGGTTCTGTCCTGGTCCTGGTTCTGGTTCTGGCCTGGTTCTGGTCCTGGTTCTGGTTCTGGTTCTGTCCTGGTCCTGGTTCTGGTTCTGGTTCTGTCCTGGTTCTGTCCTGGTTCTGGTTCTGGTTCTGTCCTGGTCCTGGTTCGGGTTCTGGTTCTGTCCTGGTCCTGGTTCTGGTTCTGGTGTCCTGTGGTCTTTCTGCCATCAGTAATGGGTTAATGACCCGTTGTGTCTGTAAACGTCCATCAGATGGAAACGGTTCTGTTAGACTAGTGGGTCCAAACTGGGTCCTGGAGGCCTAAGCAGACCTGCAGGTTGTTTCTACCAGCAGGGACAGAACCAACACATGCAGGATGCCGGGCCTCCAGGACCCCCTTTGGGCCCCCTGGTCTAAACCGTCTGGAGTCTCGAGGTTCAGATTGAGCCGTTTGGACCAAACAAAAACGTTCCGTCGTTTTCACACCAAACAACCAGAACATCGTCTGAATGAATCGTCTGATCAGGACCCAGAAACAGGTGGGGGCATCAACCCTCCTGCCTGTTTCAGCATTTAGTTTTTTATCAGGTTTTATTTTATATTCAGCGTTTAGTTGAAACAATTTGAGGCCAAACTTTGACCCGGTTCTGGATGTGAAGCTGCTCAGAGTTCTGACCCAAAACCTGCAGGATGTCCTGGTGGCGGTTCTGAGCAGGTGGAGGAAGAGGAGGAGGCGATGAAGGAGCCGCGCTCTTCTTCTGTGGTTTCCTGGATCCAGATCCCGACTGAGAGGCGAAGAATCTGATGAACGAGTTTCATCACTTCCTGTTCAGACCGAATGGAAACTATGGAAACCCGCAGAGCAGCTGTGTGTGTGTGTGTGTGTGTGTGTGTGTGTGTGTGTGTGTGTGTGTGTGTGTGTGTGTGTGTGTGTGTGTGTGTGTGTGTCATTTTTTTATTTAAACCATCTGAACATATTTTATATTTTTATAACTTTGATCGGCTCTTTAACCTCATTATGAGGAAATGAAACAGATTTTCAGAATATTGGAGCATTTAACATGGCCTTCTTATCGCCATGGTAACAGGAGCTAAACTGAGTCTTGTTATTAGTTTAGCATAAATATTACAGATAACAGCTGAAGGATCAATAAGTTCATAAAATCATCTGATGAATTTTCACCATTTATGACTTTTATAAATTTATTGAAACTATAATTTGAATTGATCTGAATGACTGAATGAATCAGTCACTGATTCATCTGAACCGATTCAGTTTGATGTTATTTATAATTTATGATTCATCGTCATGGTTACCGTGTTGCTAACAGGATCATGAACCTTAGCATCTTAGCTTGGAGGCTTTAATTAGGATCCTCTGACCTCTGACCTCTGACCTGAACTCCACTTCCTCTCATTCTTCTTCTTTGCTTTGTTTAAGCCTGACCTGCTTCAGACGTCGGGTTTCGTGATCAGGATTTCAGACAGAAAGACGGCCTGCTTCATGCTGCCATGCTGGTTCTGGTTCTGGTCCTGGTCCTGATCCTGGTCCTGATCCTGATCCTGGTCCTGGTCCTGGTCCAGGTCCTGGTTCTGGTTCTTCTATAAAAGCTTCAATCCGACGTCTGAATGATTGAACTTGTAGCAGAACCCAACAGAACCAACCGACCAGAACCAGAGATTTTATTCGTTATTTTAACCTCCAGGAGCTAAAATGAACCGAACCGGGTCCAAATGGTTCCGGGTCCAAATGGTTCTGGGTCCAAATGGTTCCGGGTCCAAATGGTTCTGGGTCCAAATGGTTCCGGGTCCAAATGGTTCCGGGTCGAACATTGGGCTCCTGACCCAGTTGCTGGAGGTTCTGATCATTTTTTTCTGTTTTTACTAAAATATGATGTTAAATTTTCTCTTTGCCTGAAATTGAATGAATTTAATCCTGATGAGTGAAATTACAGATTTAAATTTTTTCTCAGTTCAGGATTTAAGCTGAAGGTTCATTTAGACGCTGAAAACAGAAACTAGTATTACATGATAATCATTTTATTATTATTACATAATTTTTATTATTATTACATAATAATAATTTCCTCATATGAGGATCCCTGCAGATCATCCATCAATCAAAGCATTGATTATTAATTATTCTCTGATTCATAACAGAATCAGTTCTGTTCCTTAAATTACACTGAAAGATTAAATTACATTATAAACTTACATTATTATGATCTTTATTATCTTTATTATTATTGTTCCTGTCTGGTTTGTGGATGATTTAGATTCAGAGGATTAAAAACCTTCAAAGGTTTAAATCATGAATCTGAATCTTTTTTTTACTGAATCACTTTAAATGAATTAACATAAAATTTATTTTATTTTATTTTTTACAAAATGTGAAAATAATCAGGATAGAAAACATAATTCCCTCTAAACAATCCAGATTATCTCATTTAAATTAATAGTTGAATTCATGTAAAATCATGTTGTGACCTGAAGCTGCAGACTTCCTGTGGCGGCTGTGACGTCACGGCGTGGGCGCTGCTTCTGCGTCCTGATTGGCTGCTGAGGATCTTCCGCTCTCAGTTTCCACAGGATGCGGTCGCTGAGCGTCAGAGGCGAAGGCGGCTGCGGCTGGCGCCTCTCAGCCCGCTGGGACAGGAAGCCGGCGGGGCGGGGAACCGGGCCAGGCGCCCCGACCAGAACCGGAGCAGGTCTCACACTTCCTGCCGCCGCCAGCAGCAGCTGCAGAAACATCCAGAAAACACTCAGCAGAGGTCAGAGGTCACACCGAGCTGCAGATGAATTCATTCATTCATCCCAAACAGAACATTAATCTTTATATAAACGGGAATAAAACACATTTAAGGTCATTTCCTGTTTTACATAAATAAATAATAAAAAATAAAAACCTGCTTGAATAAATAATTTAGTGGTTCAAACTGGATCATTTAAAAACAGACAGATAATTTACATAACCTTTATATCAACGTTACATATTATTGTATAAATGAGATGAAATTAGAACTTTATTATCCATCAGTGACGATTAAATAAAAAACAAATAGAAAATAAAACACATAAAAACAGAATAAAGAATAAAAATACTGAACATAAAAATTCTGCAGTTATAAATAATGTTCTGTGTTTCAAGGTGCAGCTGAGTTTATTTAAAATAATATTTATAACGTTTATAATATTTATAATGTTTATATTTATAATTATAATATTTATATTTATAATGTTTATATTTATAATTATATTTATATTTATAATGTTTATATTTATAATTATAATATTTATATTTATAATGTTTATATTTATAATTATAATATTTAGATTTATAATGTTGATATTTATAATTATAATATTTATAATTAGAATGTTTATAATATTTATAATATTCATAATGTTTATGATGTTTTCATATATTTAAGCATTAAAAGAGAAACTACAGGACGTTGTGACAAACAGCAGAAATATTTTTTAAATCATAAAATAACTGGAAAAACCAGCAGATACTTATTGATTATTGATTAGATCCATAACTAATTTATTGATACTTTTATGGTTTTAAGGTAAAAATATTTAAATATTTAAATATCAAATTAAAATATTTTATAAATAAAAAAATTAAATTTCTTCTGGATCCAAACAATCATAAAGTGACTCAGCAGCTCAGAGTCCATCAGAACCATCAGGTCCATCAGAACCATCAGGTCCACTCTGCTCTGCCTCAGTCTGTGGCTGACGTCTCTACTTTGACTAGGCCATCCCAACACCTGGGTTTGTTGCTGTTTGTTATTTTTATTTTATTTCTATTTTATTTTTCAGGTTCAATAAACACTAAACCTTAATCTGGAGCAGCTGTCAAACATGAGGCGCAGGGGCCAAAACCAGGCCGCCGGAGCTTTTCCTCTGGACGTCAGGAAATACGACAAGAAGCTCAACATGATTAATGTCAGGAAGATCAAGCTAGCAGGCAGATCCTGGTCACTCTGGGGCCCACAGCATCACTCCGCCACCGCCGAGCCTTCAGCTGGGTCAACCCTGATGACATCACGCTTCGGTCCAGCTGACGATGTTCTTCAGATCCGGCTGCCATCTTGTTTCTGGATACTATGACCTTTGACGTTGGCCTGATTCTGCTGGGCCAGTTCAGAGATGACCTTTGACCCTCCCCAGGTTGAGCAGCAGCAGCAGCCATTAATACAGAAATCAGTTTTAATTGTTTTTGTGTCAGAGGTTCAGCAGATGCTGTTCGCTCCTTTCTGGTGTTTGTTGCTTTGACTAGGCCGACCGCACCGGAAGGCAGCAGCTGAGAGACGAGTCGGTGGTGGCATCATCATCATCATCTTCATCATCATCATCATCAGCAGCAGCAGCAGCAGCAGCAGCAGCTTCTTTGCGGTCGACCCAGAATCTGACAAACATCCGGCTGAACCAGAGAAACTCGACCGCAGAAAGTTTCCGACGGAAAAAAAAAAACCTGCAGCTGCAACTTCCAGGAAACAAGAATCATTCATTCAGTTATAAATATGACAACATGAACCACAGCAGCAGCTGGTCATCGCTACACATTCAGATCTATAATCTGGATTAAAACTGTCAGTTTGGAACCAGAATTATTAAAGCAGGAAGTAAATCTAGATGACCTTTGACCTCAGAGGCAGCAGTAAACAGACCAAAGCAACTTTTACTGTGAATATCCATTCAGTGTTTATGAAATATGACAGAACAGATAAATGATGGGATTAATCAGATAAATAAAATATGCTGTCATAAACACATTAAATGATTTAATTCTATTTGCTGAAGGGAAACTTTGAAACACTTTCAATAATTTAAGAAGGAATTTAATTAAAACCCAGAAGAGGAAAAATGAGTTTATACAGAAATTAAAAAATTTAAAGTTTTTAACATGAAAAGATGATCAGAGTTCAGAGCAGAGCTGGAGGTCAAGAGGTCAGGGTCGTCTTCAGGACACCGTGACCCTGAGGGACAGACTGAGGGACAGACTGAGGGACAGACAGACTGAGGGACAGACTGACTGAGGGACAGACTGACTGAGGGACAGACTGAGGGACAGACAGACTGATGGACAGACAGACTGATGGACAGACAGACTGAGGGACAGACTGAGGGACAGACAGACTGAGGGACAGACAGACTGAGGGACAGACTGACTGAGGGACAGACAGACTGAGGGACTCTGGACTCTCAGGACGTTCCTGCTGCTCTCGCCTGTAATGTCTCGGTTCTGCCAGCAGGAGGAGCTGCTCCGGATCCTGTAACGATTCCCGGCGGATCTGCAGGAATCTTTCCTGGCTCCTTCCTGGAGTTCGACTCGTCTCTGAATGTTTGGCATCGTTTGTCTCACCTGTCCAGGTGAACCAGCTGTCCTATCAACTCACCTGATGCAGGTAAGGAGGCCTCTGATTGGTGCATCAGAGGAACTGATTGATTTGAATCAGGAAGTTGAGGCAGAAATCATTGAAGGTGACCCAGTGAGGAAGTAATCAGTAAAATTAACAGGTTTTCTGCTGAATTTTGATCAAATCCTGAGAAAAAAAGTTTTTCTTGAACCTGAAAAATATCCAACATGGAGCCTAATTTTCATTTGGACTTGAATAGTTTTGGATGTAACTGTAGCTATGCTAGCTAACTCTTTAAATGTTTCACCCTGTGGCTCATATTGTTGGTTTTATTTCTGTTCTGGATTATAATCTCATCATATTTATCGTCAGATGGTTTTAAAAGACGCTAACGGCTTTAATGCAACATTTCAGAGCATCAACCTGATGAATCGTTGATGTTGATTTCAGTCATCTCCGGTTTCCTGCTAATGAAGACTGAAGTCACTTCCTGTTCAGAGAAACAAGACGATTGTTTTCAGTCATGAAACGATCAGATTATTTTAATCATGTTTCTGTTTCCAGAACATTCAGAGCTGAGTCACATGAGGAGGAGCAAAGTTTCACCGACTCAGTGACTGAACCGAAGACGATTCACTGATCTGGGTTTGGTCTGACCTGGTTTCTGTAAAGGTCAACAGAAACCTTCTCAGTCTCCTTCAGACTGGAAACAAACCAGCAGCAACAAAAGCATCTGGAAAACCAGGTGAGTCGACTCTTCAACTATTATAAAATACTAAATATTCACATTAAAATCATTTAAACATCCATCAGATGAAACCGATCACACAGAAGCTCAGGTCACTTCTAAGTTTCTAAATATAAACATCTGTATTTATTTCCTGTAATAAAACATATTTTCTGTCATCCTTTCATCACAGCTGGTATCGAACAGAGATCAGTCTGATGATCTGACCTGAAACATCTGGATCTGAAAATAAACCAAGAGAAATGAAAACATCCCAGAATTCCTCAGTTTTCTTTCTTCTGTGTTTTTATTTCTGATTTGAATCAAATCATTTCAGTGGAATCTGAAGCTGCTAGGACTCCTGCATCCTGTAGGTGGCGTCCTTCATGCTGGCTGTTTTTCTGTTTTGTTGGACAACAGCACCATCAAGTGGATGTTTACAGAACTGCAGTTCAGCGTTCAGTGTTTCTGTTCTCTGTTTTCATTCAGGATGTTTTCACGAAAAAACCAGAACAGAGACATTAATATGTGTTTTTCTGATATCCAGAGTGATGCTGGAGGTGAAGTGATGATAAAGATCCTCAGTAAAAACTTCCAGTGCTGTAAAAACCAGGACTGGAAAAGAGGAGTTGTGTCTGATTTAAATGTCTCTAATGAACTTTAATAACCGTTTTAACGTTTTAGGGATGAACTGCCTGTTTTCCTCCTGCTCACAGAAACGTGTTTATAACTGAAGACAGTCAGAGAAAACTCTGATCTGTCAACCCTGCTGGTTGACGGATCAGAACCTGAACAGAGCAGCCAGCAGATATCAGCTTTTCCATAAATCCTTGATGCTCTGCTAAGTGACAAACATTTGGAAATATTTGGTGCCCAAAGCTGAATCTCATGAGGAGTTAAATGATTTTAGGCTGAAGCTTTGACTTGTTCTGAAATCGAAACGATTCGTGAAATGGGAACTTATTTGCTGGATCCGCTTCAGTTCCAGAGCAGGAAGAGGACGATGCTGCCGCATGTGAAGCTTTTCATTGATTTTCCATCTGCCATCATATTTGCTGAGGTCCAGAGATGTGAATATTAACCTGATTCTTCTCCATACTGACGCCACATCTGGTCAGAGGCACTTCGTCTGACGCTGAGGTGTCTGCCACACTTTCAGCATCTTTATTGTTTGTTCTGCACACAGATTCCTGCCACAGGAGAATCATCACATTATAAAGTTTCCGGACGACTCGGTGGTCGTGTTCCTGCTAATGGCTGATCGGACCTTCAGCGTAACAGAAGAGATGTGGACAGACGTTAGGAAGGTCTCTGTCCCTCCAGGAGAGAACGGTCAGCTAGAGGAAGAGTCCAAGAATGAAAGAACCTGGAAGGACTGAAAGACAGACTGAAAGACAGACTGACGGACAGACTGAGGGACGCCTTTAGCCAATCACGGCGTCCTGACGGTCATTCAGGCTTCAGGTGTGAAGCTGGAGACAAAACAGTTTCTGCTCCCAAACATCCAGGTCGTCCCTTCATGCTCTTAATTCACTTTAGGACTCACAGTGTGAACAGGATTCAGATCTGAACCAGTTCAGCTTGGAGCCGTGAAGTTTGACTTGGACTGAACTGAGTGGAGTCGGTGAGAGGCGAACGGAATGTTTGTTGTTTAGCAAGATGGCTGCAAAAAATTATTAGTTTAACTTATTAAAATATGAGTTGAATACAACAAGCTACATGCTAATATCTGGATTGTTGTTTTAAAGACATATAGATTTGTAGATATAATTGCATTTGATTTATAAACATGACCAGTGAAAACAGTTCAGGCTGGTGATGCAGAACCAGGTGAGACTTTAAGGGTTGAAGGTCTGACGGCTCAGTTGGATCATCTCATCTTTGTTTGTTGAGGAAGTGAAAAATAAAATCTTCCACAGTTCAGCTTCCAGTGCGGCTTAGATTGTTTCATGCATCAGATTTTAATATCATTTGTTTTAGTTATAAATCAGATTTTTTTCAAACTGTTGTTCAGCGAAGCAGCAGCAGGAGCTTCAGTTCCTCCTGGTTTCACTTCCAGTTCAAATCTTTTCTGGGAGAAAAAATCCACCTGGAGAATCTGGAGCGAGACGCAGACCAGAAATATGACTTAATGTTTGATAAAAGTTCAGAAAGACCTGATAAAGACTGGGAAACACACACGCACACACACACACACACACACACACACACACACACACACACACACACACAGCCAGGCAATAACAGGTCAGGTAAACAACCGACAGAGTAAAACTGGAGACTCCAGCAGAGTTTCCCTCCAGAGGCAGCAGGAAAATATGTGATAAAAACTAAAGAAATAAAACAGGAAGCAGCTGATTGGCTGCAAATGAGAAGAGGAACCGATGAACTCCATGGACACAAACAGGAAGTCAGTACACCCTCCAGGCAGTTAGTGAGTACACCCCGCATGCAGCTGGACAGAAGGCTCCGTTTCTGGATGTTGTCCATCCGGTCCAGTTGATCGGATCAGAACCGGGTGCAGAATCTCTGCTCTGGTTCTCCGTCTGTCAGTGAATCAGAACTTCATGAAGCTCTGAGAGGCTTTGGTCTGAAACCTGCTGCTCAGGTAGGAACCATGTTGACCCATCAGGTCGGTTTCACCAGAACCAGAACCAGAACCAGACCTGGAACAAACTGCCTGAGATGTTCAGAACCAGCTGGTTCCTCTGAATCTGGACTGAATCATGAATTTATGATCAGATGAAACAGTTGATTTCCTTTCAATGCAGCATTTCTCCAGTTTCTGTTTCTCATGATGTGGCCTAGTTAAAGGCCGACCAGGAAACATGAGCTGCTGATTAGAATCAGTTCAAATCAAATTTATTGCACATTTCAGCAGCCAGGCAGTTCAAAGTCTTCACATCATAAAAATACCATAATGTCCAATAATGGTTCATAGTGAATTCATTTCCTTCATGTTTTACAGTTTCCCAATGAAATCAGTCCATTTCTCTGATGGAGCGCCACCGCCACCTGCTGGCCGTTTTTGGTACTGAAGCATTTGCTCTACAGGGCAGATCGATTAAATCTGAAGGCATCAAAAATGTAAAATAAATTCAGTTCAAACATAAAAATAAACATTATTGAGAGGAAATCAGAGGATCCATGAATGGAAACAATGAAAACAGGAAGCAGGGATGAAAAATCAGCTCGAAATAAAGAGCAAGCTTTAAAAGAAATACAAAAACAATATTTCTAATTTTTCATGATTGTGGGATGGAAACCAGGATGCAGAGCAGCAGGAGACTGAAGGGGGATGTTTGAAATAATCATAAATAAACATAAATACACTGAAGAACCGAAAAGGACAGAAAAACTTCTGAATGTAGAAGTGAAGATGTGTGTTTCCCTCTGGACCGGCCCGGAGGTTACCGCCTCTGGTTTAAAGCTTCTCCTGTTAAAGATGAGAGAAATGATCAGCTATGATCACATGAATGAAACATTAAAACGCTGCAGCAGGAATTCAGCTCACTGAAACAAAAGATCATTAAAAAATGACTGGAAGAGTTTTCACTTTCAACCTGAGTCCACATGATGGCGCTGTTGATCCATGAATAGGTGAGCCGGTCCCAGCAGTGAGGTTCTGATCCGAGACGGGTTCAGAGAGCAGAGCCCAGGCTGCTCGGCACCGACCCAGTTTGTGGGAGGAGGATCTGCAGCTGTCGGGTCCAGAAGAAGAAACGGTTTGATGAGTTTGGAGCATCGATATGAAACTTTCACCGGGTTTCCTTCCAGAATCGTCTCCGTCTGGACTCGGCTCTGCTGCACCAGATGAAACCAACTCATTGGTTTTCATCTGATTTTTTTCAGTTTCGGTTCCATTAAACGGGTTCAGTAGATCAAACATTTCAGCCTGAAACTCTGCAGCTTTTCTTCCTGAGGAGAAAAAACTGAAACTTCATTCAGATTAAATTTATCCTGTTAGAGGCTGGTGGTCATTTTATCTGGACCTTTTGCTCCTACAGGTTTCAGGATGCTGAGTCGTCCTGAAGTTTTGCTTCAGATGTTGATTTTTCTAAGCTTTGAAGTCAGAATGTTGAAAATAAGGTGATAAATTATTTGCAGAACTCCTTAAATCTAAAAACCTCTTTGTACAAAACTTTTAAGCATCACTAGAAAATGGCTGACTTTTCTGAAAATGTTCTCTTGCTCATAGTAAACTTTTATTTTCCTTACGATAAATAATTAAGAATTTTAAAAATTAGGAAAATTGTCAGGAGTTATAATTGTGTATTTTTCCTTGACGATCAGATGATGAGCTTCCATTTCTTCCCTGAACAAGTAAAAAGCAGAAACCTTGGATGAGGAGCGGTGGTTTGTGGTTTCTCTTATCTTCGAACATGAGTCTGGTGTCTGTGGTCAGGTTTTTGTACAGCCTCCTCTACATGTTGCACCACTGTGTTTCTAGAGCGCAGTAGTAAAGGCCTGAGTCTGCCAGGGTTGCTGTTTCTATCTGCAGCTCAGTCGATGTGTCTGTTGTTACTGATCTGTAACGATCGTTGGGAACGTACGACTCCTTACTTTGGTTCTTTGCTCCTTTCCACAGCAGGAACTGAGGAGCCTCAACATCAGAAACTTGTTTATACCAGTGAAGGTTGGGATTGACGGAACCCGTCTGGTATTTACAGCGGAGTGAGACAAGTTGTCCTTCTATCCCGTTGACTTCATTACCAACAGGAGAGATGAAGTCTTGAGCCTGAGCTGTTAGACCTGGAAGAAATGAAGCCATTAGACGAACATCGTCCATGAGGGTAAGAGGAGAAGAAAAAGTGGAAAAATGTCCCCTGAACAGTATTACTCTAACAACCTGCTCAACTAAATTAACTGGTGACAAGATTATTAATTAATGGAGCAGATGGAAAAAACCTAAACTCACCTCTAATGAGAGACAGAAGCAAAACGAGGGAGAGCAACATGTCTGGAGTCCTTAGAGCCACACAGCAGATCAACAAGGTTCTTCCACTGCAGCAGGAGGAGGAAATGATGTCATTGGATGAGCTGAAGGTCAGTGGGCGGGGCCACTTCAACTCGACCAATCAGAGAGTTTTCTGCTTCCTCAGCAGCTCTGTCTCTGATCTTTACTGCTTCATGTCTCTGTTGTCTTCAGTCCAAAGACTCAACAACCAGAGGATTAACAGGGAGTGAGGCCCTCTAGTGGCTGCTGTGGAGTACTGCAGGTTTTAGTACAGGGTTTGATCAGACACATATCAGTGTTCCTTGTGGAGAGTTTCAGAAACAGCTACATTTGAACGTCTCCCTCTCCTCACTCATTTTTCATTTACAGGGTAACAGGGTTTTGGGTTTGGGGCTTCCAGCGATGGGACGCACTGATGGGAGGCTTATGGTACGTATTCTTCCTGTGGATGCTCTGCCTTTGCAGGAATTGTCAATAAGTATCCTCATCTGAGTTTGAAACGCATCTGTTTGCAGTTAGTGGGGCGACTGTGGCTCTGTGGGTAGTCGCCTTGTGATCGGAAGGTGGTAGGTTC